CTCCGGCACTGACTGCAGCGTGGTGCTGACTCACCCGTGGGCACAGTCTGGCCGTGCCTGAGCTGGCACCGCTGCACGCAGAGAGGCTGCGCGTCGGCAGGCTCACCCTGAGAAGTGCTGCAGCCCATGGTACCGGGGACTCACCTGTGCATCGATAATCTTCTGCTTGGAATCCACAGCAGCCTGCATTTCTGCATGGTCCTTCTTTAACTCCTCCTCCACTGACATGAGCCTGGCAGCCAAACAGGCAAGAAAAAAGATGACATTGGTTGGGCTCTGCTAAGCCCAGCTATTAGTCTCGTACAGGTGTAGATCAGCCACCCAGAGAGAATGACACACATCAGGGCCTCATTCAGTCCTTGCCACCAGGAGAGCAAAGGGGTGCTGTACATCTCCAAAGCACATACGAAGAGACGTGCAATACCAGAGAAGCTAGACTACAGATGGAACCGGCCTCACGTAGCAGCCCCCATCATCCACACCAGGTCAAACCGTCTTGTCTGGAATTGCAGTGCTGGGATGCTCCCACGACCCGCAGGTGTGTGTTCGAGCACAAAGGAGACACCCAGCCACTGGCACTACCTCTTACACACACCCCAATAGTTTAGAACCAGTCTTTTTTCTGGCTGTTACTCTTCTCTAGAGATCTCTACAGCAGCCTGTCCCAAAGCTGAAGTGACACAGGACAGTGCAGGCTGACCCATGAGGGCTGATCAAAAGCACGACATTGGCTCGCAGGTGTGTGTTCGAGCACAAAGGAGACACCCAGCCACTGGCACTACCTCTTACACACACCCCAATAGTTTAGAACCAGTCTTTTTTCTGGCTGTTACTCTTCTCTAGAGATCTCTACAGCAGCCTGTCCCAAAGCTGAAGTGACACAGGACAGTGCAGGCTGACCCATGAGGGCTGATCAAAAGCACGACATTGGCTTGGCTGCACTGGAACAGTCTGTGTCCCAGGCAAACCCAAACACCGCATCCCACTGCGTGGGAGAGAGGGATTTACAGCTGGGAGTAATGGGATGGTGATGAGATCTTTAGCTAAACATCAGGAACAGAACATTTTGATCGTTACATCTATTGGTCAAATGAGGAGAAGAGCAAGCCTGTCAGACCCAAGAACTGGGGCGGCCACCACCTCTCCCCTCCTGACATTTTGCCTTTGTGCATCAGGAAAATGTTGGGGTTTTCCTTGTCCCAGCTAACACTGATGGGGGGGTTGGGGGGCAGCAAAAAAGGGCTTGAAATCCCCTCCGCCCCGCAGGGCTATAACCCAGACAGGCAGAAACCTGTCTGCACTGCCAAAGAACCTGATTATCCTGAGCAGGGGTTGGCTCTAATGCCAGCTGCTGCCTGCCTTACGGTCACCTCCACCACTCCCACCCCCCGGTACCTGCTGATGATGCCCTTCATCTGGATCTCCTTGTCCTCCTGCTGCCGCCGGAGCCGCTCCTCGCTCTCCTCCAGCCTGGCCTGGTACTCCAGCATCAGCTTCTGCGTCGTCTCCTCCTGGCACTTGAAGCGAGTCTCGTATTCCTCCAGCTTCTTGTTGGAGATGCGAAGCTTGTCCTGCAGCACCACCAGGTCCTGCTGGTACTATGGCACGCAAGGACAGACACAGGAGGAGAAAACACATGTGGCGTGTTACTGAGTAGGGCTGTGCCCTTGCCAGGGTCTCCCCATAGCCCTGCTACGCCCCTCTCCTCGCATTAGACTAGCTGCAAACCCGGATCAGATATAACCCCGCTCGCCGACACCTCCTCTTCAGTCTTCTCCACGCTGCTGTGCTAGGAGCGATGCTGCGTTCCGCTGGGCAGGCGGCCACTGGCAGGTTCAGAGAAGGGGTTGTTAGCACAGTCTGGCATTTCACGCGGGGAAGGCAGGTTAGAGGGAGCGAACGGCAAAGGCAGCTGGCACCTTCCTCACACAGCACGGGGCTGAACAGAAGCAGGAGAAGCTTACGCTGGTGGGATTTTGGCTTTACGCATGAGCTCCTCAGTCTGCAACAGTCTACGTGGGTGCTCTGGGGCTGTGCAAGGTGCTGGTCACCCTTCATCACGGGGAGGGAAGCCCGCTGGTGTGAGCCGGAGCAGGGAACGCTGCTGCCTTCGGGGGCTCAGCATCTTAAACAGCGCAATCAGCTGTCAAAGCAGGGTTCAGGCCGAGAAGAGCTGCTGCATGAAGCCAAGACCCCACAGTTGCACTGTTAATTCAGAGGAAGCTAAAAATCAGCAGCACAAGAATCACATAAAGCGATTAAAAAAAAAAAAAAGCTTTCTAAGTCAGTAAAGCTGGGCTCAGCTATTGCAGAAGCACAGCGTTCAGTACAACTTGCTTTGCTAAAGGAAAATCCAGCGTGTATCTGTACAAAAACCCCCCCACTTTTAATTTCAAAAAAAAATCTTTGGAAATAGTCATTCAAAAAAATCTCAACTGAAATAACCTTAGAATAATGAACATGACGCTGATAATTTGACAAGATGCTTTTAAAAAGTCAGCTATGGGAAAAAGTCTTCTGTCCGAGTCACGGAGCCTGTTACAAAGCTACAAGTGTACAAGTGACAGAAACACCCTTAACTTGGTCTCGATGTGGCTACCTGAAAACACGGCCTTTCCCTTTGGCCATCCAACACTGGACTTTGCTGTGTCCCAGCTTTGAGGGTCCTGCTGGGAGCCTCTTGGCAAGGGGGGAAGGCAGCCAGGCTGCTGCCCTGTGCTGCTCAGCCGGACCCCGGCCCATGCACACCCGCTGCTGCCTGGCAGCAAAAGGAACTGCAGCCCCCAAGGACTGAAAAATTCATGATGCTGATGGTCTTCCTGAATTGCCAAAGTATTTGAGCCGTGGCTGGCCGATGGCAGGACCCCTGAGCTGCTGCTGCCTGGGCAGGGCCGGGCACAGCCCATCACGCTGGTTTTCCTTTAGCAACGCGGTTCCTGCAGCACTGCAACGACACAGCTCGCACACGTAACCTGGAGCGATGAGGGAACACAGACGCCCATACAGCTGCACAGAAGCACTGAAGTCAGACAGGAGGGAGTTGCTCGAACAGGAAAGATTAGATACCTACCCTAGCCTGAAAAGAGGAGCAGCGTAAGAGAGATAGCAGGAGAGGCCGCAGGGAGCGAAGGAGCCGCTCCTGTCTCTAGAACACCTCCTCATTCTCCGTTACCATTCACGTCTCGCAGTAATGGGGAGAGAGATTGTGCTAATGCTGGTCTGGAATGTCAGTGACTGATGTGACGGCAAAGTGACAAAAGATGCTGCATGGGAATGAGACAGCGGCTCCTGGGATGGGGGTCCCTCTGGGCGCGGGACAGGGGCTGGTTTGCTGCGATACTGTCAGTCCGTGATCCCACCATCGTCTGCCCTGAGCAGCGCCGGTGCTGGCGAGCCCCTCTCGGGCTGGCACGGAACCGGAGCAGACCCTGTGAGCACCCACCTGCGAACGCTGGGCCCGTTGCACAGGGAAGGGTGCCAGGAGGGGACCAGTGACAGCGGCTGGCACACACCGTGTCCCTGCCAGAGGGCCATCTGCCTGCCTGCGGGAGCTGGAGCAGCCCAGCACACGTGTGGGTGTGCGGTCCTTCGGCACTGCGCCTTGCTCCAGTTCCACTGCCAGAGCAAAGCTCCTTGCTGCCGTCTCCACTGCAGCCTCGAATGAGCACTGACCCCCTGCAGAAGCGTCAGCAACTCACTGAGCGATGCCCCAGGGCAGATGCACCGGTGTGACACCACCTTCCCTTTGGTGTGCTGCCTGCTGGTGTCCCTGCCTAGCGGCAGCCCAGATTTCTGCACCTCTGCAGCCAAACTCTGCTAACCGGGTACATTTTTCTGCCTCAGCTGCTATCCGATCAGCACCCGTCTGTGTATTTGCAGGAGTACCCAAGGAGCAGAAAGCCAGGAAGAAATGGGCTGAATGCTCACAAAACTCTGCCCCACTCTCCCTGGGGCAGCCGGGAGCCGTTGCCTTGTACCTCCCGTCCCTGCGATACCTGCCACCGGCATTTCACTTGAATTTAACAGGGGACAGTCCCAAAAGGATCCAGCACAGCAAAATGAGAGCAGGAAGGATTATCATAACAAAACCAGAAACACATCTGTGCTGGAAAAACAGGAAGGAGGCTCAGGTAGGGTGATGTCTGCAGTTCTGTGGGACTGGGTGGTGACATGTGGCTAGTGTGACATGAGAGAAGCACATTGAGGACATGTCCCAAACGCTACCTGTGCCCAATGGCAGCGGTCCTGGCAGAGCCAGGCTGCTGAGAGAGCACCTTGCAGGAGCAGCAATCAGCAAAGAGGGGATCTTTGCAGCTCTGGATGGTTGGATCCTGATTTCTAACCCTCCTTCTTCACCCCTGGCCAGGCTTACTCTGTCCCTTCCCTTTTCTCCCAGCCCAGGCTCGGCTGGGAAGGGGGGG